TGGTGAAGGTGTTTGAACTATGTGTATCTGGTGAAGGTGTTTGAACTATGTGTATCTGGTGAAGGTGTTTAAAACTATGTGTATCTGGTGGGGTGTTTTGAACTATGTGTATCTGGTGAAGGTGTTTGAACTATGTGTATCTATTGAAGGTGTTTGAACTATGTGTATCTGGTGAAGGTGTTTGAACTATGTGTCTCTGGTGAAGGTGTTTGAACTATATGTATCTGGTGGAGGTGTTTGAACTATGTGTATCTGGTGGAGGTGTTTGAACTATGTGTATCTGGTGAGTGTGTTTGAACTATGTGTATCTGGTGAGTGTGTTTGAACTATGTGTATCTGGTGAAGGTGTTTGAACTATGTGTATCTGGTGAAGGTGTTTGAACTATGTGTATCTGTGAAGGCGTTTGAACTATGTGTCTCTGGTGAAGGTGTTTGAACTATGTGTATCTGGTGGAGGTGTTTGAACTATGTGTATCTGGTGGAGGTGTTTGAACTATGTGTATCTGGTGAGTGTGTTTGAACTATGTGTATCTGGTGAAGGTGTTTGAACTATGTGTATCTGGTGAAGGTGTTTGAACTATGTGTATCTGGTGAGTGTGTTTGAACTATGTGTATCTGGTGAAGGTGTTTTGAACTATGTGTATCTGGTGAGTGTGTTTGAACTATGTGTATCTGGTGAAGGTGTTTGAACTATGTGTATCTGGTGAGTGTGTTTTTGAACTATGTGTATCTGGTGAAGGTGTTTGAACTATGTGTATCTGGTGAGTGTGTTTGAACTATGTACGTATATGGTGAAGGTGTTTTGAACTATGTGTATCTGGTGAAGGTGTTTGAACTATGTGTATCTGGTGAGTTTGTTTGAACTATTTGTATCTGGTGAGTGTGTTTGAACTATGTGTATCTGGTGAAGGTGTTTGAACTATGTGTATCTGGTGAAGGTGTTTGAACTATGTGTATCTGGTGAGTGTGTTTGAACTATGTGTATCTGGTGGAGGTGTTTGAACTATGTGTATCTGGTGGAGGTGTTTGAACTATGTGTATCTGGTGAGTGTGTTTGAACTATGTGTATCTGGTGAAGGTGTTTGAACTATGTGTATCTGGTGAAGGTGTTTGAACTATGTGTATCTGGTGAAGGTGTTTGAACTATGTGTATCTGGTGAAGGTGTTTGAACTATGTGTATCTGGTGAGTGTGTTTGAACTATGTGTATCTGTGAAGGTGTTTGAACTATGTGTATCTGGTGAAGGTGTTTGAACTATGTGTATCTGGTGAGTGTGTTTGAACTATGTGTATCTGGTTAGTGTGTTTGAACTATGTGTATCTGGTGAAGGTGTTTGAACTATGTGTATCTGGTGAAGGTGTTTGAACTATGTGTATCTGGTGAAGGTGTTTTGAACTATGTGTATCTGGTGGAGGTGTTTGAACTATGTGTATCTGGTGAGTGTGTTTGAACTATGTGTATCTGGTGAGTGTGTTTGAACTATGTGTATCTGGTGAGTGTGTTTGAACTATGTGTATCTGGTGAAGGTGTTTGAACTATGTGTATCTGGTGAAGGTGTTTGAACTTTGTGTATCTGGTGAGTGTGTTTGAACTATGTGTATCTGGTGAGTGTGTTTGAACTATGTGTATCTGGTGAAGGTGTTTGAACTATGTGTATCTGGTGAAGGTGTTTGAACTATGTGTATCTGGTGAGTGTGTTTGAACTATGTGTATCTGGTGAGTGTGTTTGAACTATGTGTATCTGGTGAGTGTGTTTGAACTATGTGTATCTGGTGAGTGTGTTTGAACTATGTGTATCTGGTGAGTGTGTTTGAACTATGTGTATCTTGTGAAGGTGTTTGAACTATGTGTATCTGGTGAAGGTGTTTGAACTATGTGTATCTGGTGAAGGTGTTTGAACTATGTGTATCTGGTGAAGGTGTTTAAACTATGTGTATCTGGTGGGGGTGTTTGAACTATGTGTATCTGGTGAAGGTGTTTGAACTATGTGTATCTATTGAAGGTGTTTGAACTATGTGTATCTGGTGAAGGTGTTTGAACTATGTGTCTCTGGTGAAGGTGTTTGAACTATATGTATCTGGTGGAGGTGTTTGAACTATGTGTATCTGGTGGAGGTGTTTGAACTATGTGTATCTGGTGAGTGTGTTTGAACTATGTGTATCTGGTGAGTGTGTTTGAACTATGTGTATCTGGTGAAGGTGTTTGAGCTATGTGTATCTGGTGAAGGTGTTTGAACTATGTGTATCTGGTGAAGGTGTTTGAACTATGTGTATCTGGTGAGTGTGTTTGAACTATGTGTATCTGGTGAAGGTGTTTGAACTATGTATATCTGGTGAAGGTGTTTGAACTATGTGTATCTGGTGAGTGTGTTTGAACTATGTGTATCTGGTGAAGGTGTTTGAACTATGTGTATCTGGTGAGTGTGTTTGAACTATGTGTATCTGGTGAAGGTGTTTGAACTATGTGTATCTGGTGAGAACTGTGTTTGAACTATGTGTATCTGGTGAAGGTGTTTGAACTATGTGTATCTGGTGAAGGTGTTTGAACTATGTGTATCTGGTGAAGGTGTTTGAACTATGTGTATCTGGTGAGTGTGTTTGAACTATGTGTATCTGGTGAAGGTGTTTGAACTATGTGTATCTGGTGAAGGTGTTTGAACTATGTGTATCTGGTGAAGGTGTTTGAACTATGTGTATCTGGTGAAGGTGTTTGAACTATGTGTATCTGGTGAAGGTGTTTGAACTATGTGTATCTGGTGAAGGTGTTTGAACTATGTGTATCTGGTGAAGGTGTTTGAACTATGTGTATCTGGTGAAGGTGTTTGAACTATGTGTATCTGGTGAAGGTGTTTGAACTATGTGTATCTGGTGAAGGTGTTTGAACTATGTGTATCTGGTGAAGGTGTTTGAACTATGTGTATCTGGTGAAGGTGTTTGAACTATGTGTATCTGGTGAAGGTGTTTGAACTATGTGTATCTGGTGAAGGTGTTTGAACTATGTGTATCTGGTGGAGGTGTTTGAACTATGTGTATCTGGTGAAGGTGTTTGAACTATGTGTATCTGGTGAAGGTGTTTGAACTATGTGTATCTGGTGAAGGTGTTTGAACTATGTGTATCTGGTGAAGGTGTTTGAACTATGTGTATCTGGTGAAGGTGTTTGAACTATGTGTATCTGGTGAAGGTGTTTGAACTATGTGTCTGGTCTGGTGAAGGTGTTTGAACTATGTATGTATCTGGTGAAGGTGTTTGAACTATGTGTATCTGGTGAAGGTGTTTGAACTATGTGTATCTGGTGAAGGTGTTTGAACTATGTGTATCTGGTGAAGGTGTTTGAACTATGTGTATCTGGTGAAGGTGTTTGAACTATGTGTATCTGGTGAAGGTGTTTGAACTATGTGTATCTGGTGAAGGTGTTTGAACTATGTGTATCTGGTGAAGGTGTTTGAACTATGTGTATCTGGTGAAGGTGTTTGAACTATGTGTATCTGGTGAAGGTGTTTGAACTATGTGTATCTGGTGAAGGTGTTTGAACTATGTGTATCTGGTGAAGGTGTTTGAACTATGTGTATCTGGTGAAGGTGTTTGAACTATGTGTGATCTGGTGAAGGTGTTTGAACTATGTGTATCTGGTGAAGGTGTTTGAACTATGTGTATCTGGTGAAGGTGTTTGAACTATGTGTATCTGGTGAAGGTGTTTGAACTATGTGTATCTGGTGAAGGTGTTTTGAACTATGTGTATCTGGTGAAGGTGTTTGAACTATGTGTATCTGGTGAAGGTGTTTGAACTATGTGTATCTGGTGAGTGGTGTTTGAACTATGTGTGGTGAAGGTGTTTGAACTATGTGTATCTGGTGAAGGTGTTTGAACTATGTGTATCTGGTGAAGGTGTTTGAACTATGTGTATCTGGTGAAGGTGTTTGAACTATGTGTATCTGGTGAAGGTGTTTGAACTATGTGTATCTGGTGAGTGTGTTTGAACTATGTGTATCTGGTGAAGGTGTTTGAACTATGTGTATCTGGTGAAGGTGTTTGAACTATGTGTATCTGGTGAGTGTGTTTGAACTATGTGTATCTGGTGAAGGTGTTTGAACTATGTGTATCTAGTGAAGGTGTTTGAACTATGTGTATCTGGTGAAGGTGTTTGATCTATGTGTATCTAGTGAAGGTGTTTGAACTATGTGTATCTGTGAAGGTGTTTGAACTATGTGTATCTGGTGAAGGTGTTTGAACTATGTGTGTCTGGTGAAGGTGTTTGAACTATGTGTATCTGGTGAAGGTGTTTGAACTATGTGTGTCTGGTGAAGGTGTTTGAACTATGTGTATCTGGTGAAGGTGTTTGAACTATGTGTGTCTGGTGAAGGTGTTTGAACTATGTGTATCTGGTGGAGGTGTTTGAACTATGTGTATCTGGTGAAGGTGTTTGAACTATGTGTGTCTGGTGAAGGTGTTTGAACTATGTGTATCTGGTGAAGGTGTTTGAACTATGTGTACTTGGTGAAGGTGTTTGAATGTTTTCCTTTGAATTGAAGCCGTGACATTGTTAGGCATAGCTCTGACTTTCGTCTTTTGATTTCAAAGGTGTTTGCATCTAATATTAACTTGAAGTAAACTGCTTTCTTGTCTGTGGATCTGGAACATTTGTCAGGTATTTGCATTTTGACGTTCTTAGACTTTGCGTGCACGCATGTTTCTCGACGGTTACACATGGACGTTGAAAGTACTGTACGCCTTCCATTATTAGTGCTTCTGTTCCACACTGAAGCATTATTTGTTGTGTTCACATTAATCTGTAATCGCTTATTGTTATTTGAACGAAATAGCCAACGTATTCTTCATAACCATGTACTAATGTATACTTATTTCTATTTTCCACTTTTCTAGCATCACCCTGGTCTGTGGCATCCGAGCCAAACGACAGATGGGCATGGTGGATGAAGCAGATCCTCACGCCTATAATAGTGGCCATAGGTTTCGGCGGAAATAGCCTCTCTTTCGTCGTGATGAAAACGAGATCATGGCGACATAAGTCCTACAGTCACTTCCTGTGTGCCTTAGCTGTGTTTGACAGCCTCACTCTGATCAACAGGGAGATCCTTCTTGTTCATGAACTCCGGGTGTACGCAGGGGATTCAGGACTGTACGCCGGATTCTCTGACATAGCGTGCAGCATCCACAACTTCTATGAACACATGTGCTACTTGATGTCTTCGTGGCTTATTGTGTGTATGGCGATGGAGAGAGTTGTAGCGGTCTACTTTCCCTTGCGGAAGGCTTTTCTGTGTACGCAGCATGGCGCACTGATCGTTATCCTGGCTCTTGTAATGCTTCTGACATATACTCAAGTAAGTACGTGAATACTGTTCTATTTAGAGATACCCGTGAAGATCCGGGTTAGAATCGATCTTCACCTTCCAATGCTTGTCGTAAGAGGTGACTAACGGGATCGGGAGGTCAGGTTCGCTGAATTGGTTGACACATGCCATCGTATCCCAATTGAGTAGATCAATGATCATGCTGTTGATCTCTGGATTGTCTGGTCCAGACTCGATTATGTACAGACCGCGGCCATATAGCTTGGGTATTGCTGAGAACTGCGTGAAACAACCAGTCATACAACCATATGTAGAGTGAATCTCTTCTTATAATTTTGTAGCCCAGTCCAATCCAATAGAAATCAGATTGCAGTGCTACCGCGTAACACAAATCTAAGGGTGATCATGATCACATGAGGACGACCTTTCGCAAACCTTCACCTGCCAAAGGAATGCTTAAGGTGAGGTCTAAAGTTGGTTGTCATAAAGCAGCGTTCTTGAGATTTATTGCACTGTTGTCAAACCAGCGACTTCTATATGACTGTTTTTGAAAATATTTTCGATTCTAAATTCAAAACCTGTAAATGTGAGAACGATACACAAAACAATCGTTTGATGCCTGTCGTGAATGCATAACATAACTGTCGACTGGCTATGAAAAGTCCCAGTGAATTCGGATTTGTACATATCTGAAACTGGAAAACATACAGTAATCCCAAACACCACAAATTGACAAAAAACGAACCCAAAACAAAAAAATGACAAAACGACGTTGCCTGACGTGGTTGTTCCCGCGCTGTAAGGTTATTTGTATGAGGGAGCTGCTTGAATGTAGGGGGTGGTGTACATTAAAAGTCTGTAAAAATTATCATGGGCGTGAAAATCAGCAGGTGGTGTGTCCCCTTTGATGACATCCTGTTGATGAGTGAGTGAGTATGGTTTCACACCGCCTTTAGCAACATCCCAGCAATATTCCGGCGGGGGACACTAAAAAATGGGCTTCACATTCTGTACCCATCGAGCCCAGGTCTTTAGCGTCATGAGCGAATGCTTTATCCACGAGGCAACCAAATCGCCTTTACTGTTGATGAACGTGCGTAAGCGTAACAAAGTGAAAGGAGAAACATGGTCTACAGTTATGTCTGGTTGTTTTCTACATTTATTCCCATGTTTGCAATGTGTACACGCTTTTCCTCTCTAGAAAGATGTGGATATTGAGTTTTCAATGCCGAAAAAACCCATTGGAACCAACTTTTTCAGTTTTGTTTTTTGAATACAACGATATCAAGACCAAGCAGTAGCATCGTTACTTGACGTCTTTGAATTATACTGGCTTCCAGGAGGTTAATTTACGGAAGGGAAATCATGAATGACAGGAAGCCCCCATTATCAGAATTGAACTACGTCCTTCGATGAAGAACCACGATGGTAATACTCTATCATGTGAATGCCAAGGTTCACACCGTTTACGCTTCCACATAATCCAGTTATAACGATAGCCATTCAAATTACAAACGGAGTAATAACTTCCAAACAGCATTGAGAAGCCTGTCGACCTGTGTCAATAGCGTTGATTGTAAATAGAAGATTCAGGATAAATACCCCAATCCTTAAAAGATCAGAGCTTATCAGATCAAAAAGTCATTATCTTGCAGTCGTGGTACATGGGAGGGAGCTATTTTGTAACTCGTAAGGTCAATGACTTGCTGTTTTTCAGCGTAGGGCTTCTCTTTCATTTCCAGTTAACGAAGTGTAGGGACTCTTTGGATTGCATTTGTCACTGAGTGTTGTCAACAAACATTCCAATTTGCCATGGTCGTACCAACTGAGCACGTAATGCGTTTCTTTTTTTCCAAATCCCAACTGGGTTTGTTGTACTATTCCAAAGAGAGCCGCTCCTTCCCCACCGTGTCACAAACATGTCCAATGGAAAGTCACGGACTCATCTGAGATGACACATGCATTCAGCGTATTTTCTCGTTGCTTCGAATAACTTGTCGTTGCTTCCGAGTATTTCCTCGTTACTTCGATTAATTTCTTGGTGCTTCGAGTATTGTCTCGTCATTTCAAGTATCTATCAAAACCTGAAATTTCGAGTATTTTCTCGTCATTTCAAGTTTCTATCAAAACCCTGAAATTTCGAGTATTTCAAGTTTCTGTCATTGTCTTCGATTTCAAGTTTCTGTCAAAAACTTCGATTTCATTTTTTTTTCTCCTTACTTCCATCCACGTCAGCGTGCCTGACCCCTTGATCCCGGTAATCGCCTTTTACGACCGTCATGCGTTGCTGAAGATCAATTTTAACCCTCATTTTCATTGGTGCTGATAATTAGGTGTACAGAACAGTTACTGTTTCTAGTGTAACACTATTTGACGTGTACACTTGTGAAAGGTGTGTCAAGCTCGTCCAAATTGACCAGCTGTGCAGATTATGTCCATGGGAATTGCTGACCTTAGCAGATTCGCAGTCGTTCATCTGTCTCTAAATGCAGCCAGTATAGGCAAACAGCAGACAGCGCGCGGACAGAGCAGCAGAAGGTAATCTGGAGACAAAGAGGGACGAACACTGACCAGCTAATCCAGACCATCTGTTGCTCATGTGTCAGCCTCACTTCGCCTCCTTCTGCTGGTAGTGTCTTTTGGACAACCTCGCACAGAGAATAGAAACACCCATTCTTTGTACGCCGCTTGGACTCATGTTGTTTGAAGAGTAACAGATTAGTTAGACTAGACTCATACAATTCCCCCTTCACCACGACTGCGCACATCTGCGTGTTTTGAGTGTTTCAAGGTCATGAGTATTAGCTGCCGGCTGAACGGAAGTAAAAATATGAAACGAAAATGCAATAGAAATAATCTCGTGACTTCGTGTCTGCTAAACACAGAGCAATCAACACTTATGTTTGTGATACGGATAACACAGCTATGGATCTCACCTCAAGTTTTCAATCTTTCGGCGACGAAACAAATCAGACAATAAATTGATGACGATAAATTGAACCGATGGTCCATAGAGTCCAGTTTTCAAGTCTCACTGACACTGCTGCGAACAAGTGCTGAGATTCCTCGACATAGAAGCCAAGAAAAGGGGTTTTGGAAGCAGATTTGTTTCGAATAAATATTCCGTTTTTAATTCATACAGCGAAGATAAGTCATGAAGTTACGATGACATTCGGTTACTTCAGCCCACCAGTAAAACAATGTACCAATGTGAATTCATATGAAACTGGCGAAACCGTTTTCTTCACATCGGTACAATATTATCATCAAATTGCTGTTTATACACTGATGAAAGCCAAATAGAAGTTGCTGTCACAGATGCCTGCTCGGCATAGCGTGTCCATATCGATACAGTTTAAGATGCAAGGAGCGGTAGGGTAGCTTAGTGGCTCGCTCATCACACCAAAGAACCGGGTTAGATTCACCACATGGGTTCCCCACATGTGCAACGCACATTCTTGTGTCACCTGCTGTGAGAGTGCTTGAATATTGCTAAAAGTGGCGTCAATATAAACTCACTCACTCACTCACTCACTCACCCACCCACCGAGTCACTCACTCACTCACTCATTCACTCCTCACTAACCCACCCACCAACTCACTCACTCACTCACTTACTGTCAACATTTACAGGGCGGTGGGGTAGCCTAGTGGTTAAAGCGTTGGCTCGTCACGCTGAAGACCCGGGTTCGATTCCCCACATGGGCACAATGTGTTAAGCCCATTTCTGGTGTCCCCCGCCGTGATATTGCTGGAATATTGCTAAAAGCGGCGAAAACTAAACTCAGTCAGTCATTCAGTCAGTCAACATTTACAATATTTTTCGACCAATCACCGTAAATCGTATTTCGAAAATCAAACGTTTCATCACACCCCAAAACGGGCTAGAATCCCCACATGGGTTCCCAACATGTGCAAAGCACATTCTTGTGTCACCTGCTGTGAGAGTGCTTGAATATTGCTAAAAGTGGCGTCAATATAAACTCACTCACTCACTCACTCACTCACTCACTCACTCACTCACTCACTCACTCACTCACTCACTCACTCACTCACCACGCACTCACTCACTCACTCACTCATTCACTCCTCACTAACCCACCCACCAACTCACTCACTCACTCACTCACTTACTTACTTTCAACATTTACATTTTTTTCGACCAATCACCGTAAATCGTATTTCGAAAATCTGGTGTCCCCAGCCGCGATATTGCTGGAATATTGCTAAAAGCGGCGAAAACTAAACTCAGTCAGTCATTCAGTCAGTCAACATTTACAATATTTTTCGACCAATCACCGTAAATCGTATTTCGAAAATCAAACGTTTCAAACAGCCGGATGACGACAATATACTCAGTGACTTAGGATTACTGTTGGCTAAACACAAGCAGGAAATGGCAATCCGCTAGTTAAATAGTAGACACCGTTATCGTACTTACATTTACAGTGTCTTGGTGACGGTTTCAGCCAACAAACGTTTTGTTCTCCTTTGTAAAACACTTTTCAAGTGCATACTTTCTTTTGTCGGACAATTTATAAAGCATCAAGTTGTTGAGCAAATATCGTTCAACTGTGTTCTATATCGACCAGTTCCAGAAACTTATTTCCCGGCGGATGGATCGTTCTCAAAGAAGTAATCAGGTTTTTCCGTTTTGTTTTAAATAACCGATTAGTTACCAAATTGGGAAAACATTCAAACGGCGATGATAAATGGGTTGCTATATTCTTGATGTTATGTTTTGCAACACGACAAATAACAAATTCGTCCTGTTAATCGATATTGTGTGGTTCTGCTCTTCACATTTGTTTGATGGAAGAGCGCCCATACATACTGCTCTTTGAACATAGATATGGGTGGTTAATAACAATGACTTATTTCTTTTCAAAATCTAGTATTTTGTTTGCTGTTTAACGCCGCACAGTATTCCATCTACATGTCCGCGGACTGTAAATACACGAGTTTGGACCAGGCAAACCAGTGATCACCATCATGAGATAGGATGGCGTATTGCAACCACGTCAGTGAGC